AGGCCCCCCATCCCAGGCAACCACTAAACTACTTTCTGTCTCTGTAGACTGACCTATTCTGGGTATTTTATTTAAATGAAATTATACAACATGTGACCTTATGCCTGGTTTCTTTCACTTAGCTCATTTTTAAGGTTTACCTACATTGTATATACCAGTATTTCATTTTTTTATGGATGAATATTGCATTTTATGGATATACCCTTTTTTTTTTTTCTACCAGAAATTGAACTGAGGACCTTGCACTTTCCAGGAAGCAGGTGCTGCGCCACTGAGCTATATCCCTGGCTCCCGGATATACCACTTCTTGTCTATTCCTTCATGAGCTGCTGCTTATGTGGGTTATTTCCAGTTTGGGCTTACTAGTATGGGTCAGGCACCTATGAGCATTTGTGTGTTAGTTTATGTTTGAACATATATTTTGAGTTCTTTGGGATAAATACCTGGAAGAGGAATTGCTACGTCATGTGGTGACCTAATGTGTAATGTTTTTGAAGAGTGACAAACTCTCCCATAACTTTGGCATCCTCTCACATACCTGCTAGCAGTTTTCTTCTCTTCAGCCTCATTAACTTTTCTTTTCTCTCTTTCCTTGTTTTTAATTTTAAACTTTTTATTTTATGTACGAAGAGTTTGCATGGTCTCTTTCATTGACCATCTGTATGGCCAGGAAATCCATCAAAGGAAGATCACTTAGTCCAACTTGATGAAGCTGATGTCCTTCATGTACTAATGGAAACACTGGCGGTACATGTTCAGCCTGTATTTCCGGATCAGACTGTGACTTTCTTTCCTTTTTAAAAATTCTAGTCATAATGTAAAAAAAAAGAAAGAAAATTCTAGCCACTTTGGGCAGGTGTGAAGTGGTGTCTCGTTGTGGCTTTGATTTGCATTTCTTTAATGACTCATCAGGGGGAGCATCTTTTCATGTGTTTTGGGGTGATTTCTTTTTTGTGAGGGTTTGAGACAGGGTCTCTCTCTGTAGTCCAAGCTGGCCTTGAACTCTCTATGTACCCCAGGCTGGCCTCAAATGCATGTCAATCCTCCTGCCTCAGCCTCAGGATTATAGGCATGTGCCACCATACCCCAGTGCTTCTTGGTCATTTCTGTAAACCGGGGATTGAACTCAGGCTCTTGCTTTTGCCAGGGGAGCACTTATTGCACTGAGCCATCTCCCTGGCCCTCTGTATCTTCTTTAAAGAAGCATCTACTTAAACCCTTTGCTTAGAGCCATGACGCATCTCAGTGGCACAAGTGCTTGCCTGCAAGCACAAGGTCCCGAGTTCAATTTCCAGTACCGAAAAAAGAAAAAAGAAAGAAAGAAATGGTAATCCCTTTGCTCATTTAAAAAATAGGTTAAAGTATAATGGGGGTGTTAGGTACGAATCCACGCAATCAACCAGACCAGGCATTCTGACACGAGTCGATTTATTGGGGGCATCAAGCAAGCTGTCTGTCTAGTGGACCAAGACAGCAGTGAATGAAGGAGGGACAGGAGGCTTTGTAGGATCTTTTAGGGAGGGTGATCCCTGGGTGGAACAGCTGAGGGACCTTGGCAGGGCTGCCTGGTCTGTGGGGGGCCGTTAATGTCAACAAAGGAGAGTTTCGAGGTTGCTTGCCCAGGTCACAATCAGGTGGACCTGTTCTGTGGTTTTGGGTTTGGCTCTGTGTGGAGCCGAGGAGGAGAGAATCTGGGGACAGGGCGCCTGGGAAGCTTTGAATCCTGACCTATCAGAGGCGTGTGGCTCAGCTGTACAGCATTTGCTTAGCCTGTGTGATGCCAGCAGTTTGACTACCAGCACCAGAGAGCCAGAGAGAGAGAGAGAGAGAGACAGACAGACAGACAGCCAGACAGACGAGCGAGAGAGACAGGTTATATAGGCTGTTTTCTTATCATCAAGTTATTCAAGTTCTATATGTATTCTGGATACAAGTGACTGATCAAATATAGGATTTACAGCCATTTTTTTTTTTTTTTCCATTCTGTGGACTTTAGTTCTTTAGTGCCCGTTCTGTAGCCAGCTTTTTCTTTTGCAGTTCTCATGGGCAGCTTTCCCGCTCAGGAAAAAGCTGCCTCTTTTTCTCCCCGTATATTACTTTCCTGCCGCCACCCCATCGTTTTTTATGGCTCCGCAGTGCTGCACAGTGGCAGTGCCACCATTTTCGGACCCAAGCCCTGCAGGCCCTAAGGTGTCTCTGCTCAGCTGGGGAGAGGCGGAGGAAGCCGCTCCTGGGCAGAAGCCCTCCTCTGCCCACCGCGCTGTCTGCTCTCCGATGATGCGAAAATGCAAGCGGGCACAGGAAATGTCTCTAACCTGGTTGTACTTCCTCTCTGAGCCCCTGCGGTTTCACAACCCCTACAGGCACACTCCTCTGTCCCCTCCTCCCACCCAGTGTCATCAGCGAGGCGCTGTGTGAGAAAGTTCCACTGCAAGAGGCCCCGGGCACTGTCATTTCCCTCTTGCACCCTGTGTGGGTTGGAGCAACCCCAAAGGGCCCTGTGAGACCAAGGTTGGGTCCATGGGTCCCTCCTGGGTGGCTAAGAGGAAGAATTCTCGTGTCACCATGATAAGGCTTCTTCTGCTGTCTGGAACTTTTCTCTTTGGTAAGAAAAAAAGGTGGTGGGGAGAGCCTGTTGGTGACCACGGAAACTGCAGGGTGCTGTGAGGCTGGAGGAAAGGTGGGACTGGCCATAGGTGATGTGGGGTCCGGAAATCCTGAAGGGAGAAGCAGGAAACAAAAGTGGAAAGAAAGCTAGAGCCCACCCCACAGAAAAGTGTGGCAGCAAGGCCGGATGAGGTGGCACATGCCTGTAATCCCTGAGGATTAGGGAAGGCTGAGGCAGGAGGGTTGCTGCAAGTTCCAGGCCAGCCTGGCTACCAAGTAAGTTTAAGATCGCTATGTCTGAATTACATGGCGAGATCCTGTCTCAAAAATTTTTTTAAAAAGATGGTGGTAAAGTCAGAGAAGGGACAGAAAGTGTGTGGCAAGGTGTATGGGAGGGGAGTGGATTTAAAATTGAAGGCCAACAGGCCAGGTGGGTAGTGTGCACCCTGCAATTTTAGCACTCTGGAGGCTGAGCCAGGAGGGTCGAGAGTTCAAGCCGTTTGGGCAGTTTAGCCGGACTGTGTCTGAAAATTTAAGAAGGAAAACAAAGGACTTGTCTTGGGCGAGCCATTCCCTTGTCCCCCCTCATTCCTTTCATCTGAACAAATGACTGCGTTGGCATCCTTGAGCTCCCAGGATGCTACGCACCAAGTCTGAGCCCTGGAACAACAGGAGGACAGTCTGGAGGTTTCGGATGACGGCAGGCTGAGATGGGAAGAGGGGTTCGGGTGCAGAGAGATGGGGCTCTTGGTGAGGAGCAGTGTGGGTTAACCTGCGGTGAGCGGCAGGCAGCCGGCGCCTGGGGTTTTGCATCCCCTGCGGGGCAGCGCTTTTGAATCCTGGGGGCTGGCCGGTGACCCCAGAGAGGGGCAAGATGCGCTCTGCTCAGGCACCGCGCTGGGCTCCTGCCTGAGCACCGGCCACCCGGCGCCTCTCAGCGCCCTCTCTGCTCCTTTCTCTTTGGCCTCTTCTGATTTTTCTCTCTTGCTGAGAGGCCAAAGGGGAAGTTGTGCGTCCTTGAGCCCGGGAAAGAGCTGCAGGGCCGGGTGGCAGGGAGGGCTCCACCTCGAGGCCCTCGGCCGCTCGGCCTGCTGCGGGAGCTGGGGTCACAGCAGCGCTCCTGCCCGGAAGCAGAAGCAGCCGGCTGCTCTTGCCTTCCTCAGAGTCGGCCTGTAGCTACAACCTGGACGTGAAGGAGGCGCCGAGCTTCTCCTTTCCACACGCCGGGAGGCACTTTGGGTACCGCGTCCTGCAGGCTGGAAACGGGTAAGCTGCCGCCCCGCCCCAGTCCTCGCCCGGCAGATGTGCCAGGCCGGTGCCCGGGCCCCACCCACCTTGCCTCGCTAGCTCCCTGAGGCCCAGTCAGCGAGCCTGGCAGACCTCTCTGGGGGAGCCTGCCTGCCGGTGGGAATGTTCTGGAAACATGAGGTAGGCTGTAAAGAGGTGGGATAGGACAGTCAGTAAGGCGACATGTAAGTGCCTAATGGGAAACATCACAGCTCCGAAAGCACTTCGCCTCACTGGGTGTGGTGTAATCCCAGCACTCAGGAGGCTGAGGCAGGAGAATCCTTGTCAGTTCAAGACTAGCCTTGGCTACAAAGTCAGTCAGACTCTGTCTCACAACGACAAAAATAAACAAACAAATAAATCACTTTGCCTCATGCCTTAGGTTCTTGATTTTCCCTGGCCACATTGTGAGCTCCTTGATGGCAGAGGTTTGGTCCCTCCTCCCCTACTATGAGCTACCACAGCCTAGCTCATAATAGGTAAGCCGTAAATGGCTTTCGATTTGAAGACTACATGAATGAATTCATGATGTGACATGCTGGTACAACATTCTGTCAGCCTCACGTTGTCCAAACTGTAAATGGACTGGACCTGTTAACTTTCTACAAGTCTGGCTGACAGAGAATTATTTCTCTAGGCATCAGGAAGAGAAGATATGGGAGCTAAGGAATCTCCCCAAAGGGAGAAGCTGTGTTGCTTTAAAATATTTGGTTGGAGTGGGCATGGTGGCACATGCCTGTAATCCCAGCTCTCAGAAGGCTGAGGCAGGAGGATCACTGAAACTTCTAGACCAGCCTGGGCTACTGGGCTACAGAGTGAACTCAAGGCCGGTTTGAACTATGTAGTGCGATCTCTCTCTCTCTCTCTCTCTCTCTCTCTCTCTCTCTCTCTCTCACACACACACACACAGAGTTACCTGGTGGGGAATCTGAAGCCCTAAAGACCTGGGCACCTCCATCTCAAGTAAATCTCTTGTCAGGGTTGTCGTGGGAGCACCAGGTTTGGGCAACAGCACAGGAAAGCTCTATCAGTGTGAGTTCCACAGTGGAATCTGTCAGCCGGTCAGCCTGAATGGTGAGTAGCTGGTGAGGTGCTGGGGGGCAGGGCCCTCACAGAATCAGGCTTGGCCCCGTCTCTCGGATTGCCTAAGTTCTTCCAGACCAATCTTCTGGTGCCTACAGGTTTCAACTATACCTCCAAGTACTTGGGAATGACCTTGGCAGCAGACCCCACAGGTGGAAGCATCTTGGTAAGAATTTTGTGTATGGTCAGTTACCCAGTGAGAAAGCCAGGTTTCAGTCAAATTCTCACCTGATTTCCATTCCATTGCTTTTTCCTGTTAACCCACCCAGAAGCCTTCTGACACCGTTATGTGAAAGATGCCTTAAGGGAATACAGTACTGATCAACAGCATTGAATTGTAGCTTGTTTACTTAGCAACTATTATGTAGCTGACATTGTGCTGGGTTCTGAAGGGTGAGGAGAGTGAAATACAAGATGACCAGGATGTGAGCTACATTTGAAATTACAGTCTGGCAAGAAACGTAGTCACAAGTGATAGGAACACCACTGTATATTCTGGGAATAGTGAGGG